TTGATCAGGGTGATGATGAGAAACAGAGAGGATGTTTATTTATTTCTCTAAAATCTGCTTGCCCTCTGCCACCCCATCAAATGTCACTTCCTATTGGTATTAAAACAAAATGTGAGGATTTCACAAAATGGGGATCAACATGACAAATCAGCTGTCATTTGCGAGGCCTCCCCTTGAGGTGATCAGCAGACACTTTTCCATTAGAAAACAGGTAGAAAGTCATCTCCGGCCACTATGCTCCAACCTCACCTTTCCCTTCCACACCGATGAGCAGCCACAACCTGCTGCCCTCCCCTATTGAGCCCCCTGCGGGCTGCAGACTGAGGTGGGGGTAATGAGAGAGTAGGAAGGACCGTGCAAACCACAAGTGCATGTCACCCACAAGCCTGCCTTGCAGCATTTCTCCCACAGACTCTTTTTAATCTCTGAGTCCAGTGGACTATCATGACATTTGTCGAGGTTTCCCACTAGTTAAATATCATGCCTGTGGGTGATATTCACTCGCCATTGCTCAGATTACAACTTAAAGTAAGCTCTTCTTGAAAATCATGTCATACACCCTTTTAGACTTCAGATCACCAAGTTTAGCATTTACATCTCAAATAGAGAGTCCATTCATTCTTTCATTCACTTCCTCATTGACAACCTCATTCTAGTGCTGTCATGGGTCAGGTTCCCTGAGAAACAAAAGCCAAGACAGAGATTTGTGTGTCGAAGTTTACAGGAGCATGTTCTCGGTGACAGCAAGGAGCAAGATTGGGCAGAGCCAGAAGCAAGAAGCGGCAGAGAGAGAAGTTGAACTGAGATGCAGTCAACAAAGATCTCAGCTGACCCTGATCCCTCGGGGAGCTCTGGAGCTGGAACCTCTCCATTCAGAGTTGTTCCACCTTGAGGCAAGGGGACAGGACCTTTAGACCCTCATGGGCACTCCATGGAGGAGATGTGACCATGGGTGAGCTGGTCTCTTCCACTGAGGGGTGCCCCCCGCTGACCTGTTTCATCCTTCCAGACGCTGGGAGAGCAAGTGCCTCCATGCTGAAGGGGGAATCTGGATATCAAACCAGAATATACATCTCAAGTGGCAACTAAGGCCTAGCACTTAATTTAACTACTCCTGCTAACCTTAAATATTTTCTCTGAATTAGATCATCACAAAAAGCGAATGTGGGAACTTACCAGATTCCCTTTATTTAAAGTTCTCCTACAAATGATTCAATTTAGTAAACAATTATTAAAAACTATACTATGGGAAACAACTCACAAGCTCATCTACAGGGGAATGGATAACCAAACTGTGATATATTCATATGACGAAATACTACACAGCAATAAGAGAAATGAATTCTTGACACATACTACATCATGGATGAACCTCAAAATAATTATACCAAGTAGAAGAAGCCAGACAAAAAAAGTAGACACTGTATGAGTTCATTCATATAAAACTGTAGAAATTGTAAACTATAGGGAGAGAAAGCAGCTCAGTGGTTGCTGTAGAGGAGAAGGGTGGGGGGAAGGATTACAACAGGCAGGAGGAAATTTTGGAGGGTGATGGATATTGTCTTCATCCATTCGGGCTACTGTAACAAAATACATTAGACTGGGTAATTTATAAACAATAGAAATTTATTGCTTACAGTTCTGGAGGCTGGGAAGTCCAATATCAAGGTGCCAGCAGACTCGGTGTCTGGTGAGGGACCATCCCTCACAGATGTTCCCTCTCACCATGTCCTCCCACGGCAGAAGGGCAGGGCCTAACAAGCTCTCATGGGCCTCTTCTATAATGGCACTAATGCCATTCATGAGAGCAGAGCCTTCATGACCTAATCACCTCCCAAAGGCCCCACCTTTTAACTCTATCACACTGAGGATTAAGTTTCAATATGTGAATTTGGGGAGGACACAAATATTCAGACCATAGCAGATTCTTCACTATCTTCATAGTGATGATGATGTCATAGGTGTATGCATATGTCAAAATGTATCACATTGTACACTTTACATATGTAAAGTTCATTGGGTTAGTTATACTTCAATAAAGATATTTTAAAAACAATTTTACTATGAAAAGGTCTACGACAGGCCTTTGGATGTACTAGATAAATATGAAACAAACTCCACTTTCAGGGAGCTCAGAACCTAGCAAGGGAGACAGATGGATATTTAACTAAATATAATATGTATGAGAATAAAATTAGCATAACAAAGAGAAAGAAAATATTATGTGAGCTAAGAAAAGTGGAGAATTGATTTTTCTGGAACTACAGAAGATAGTAGTAGGTAGTTCTTTTGTAGCACTTATTGTATACCATACATTAAGGACATTAACTCCTTTAATTCTCAACCACCACATGAGTGGGTGCTATCATTATGCCCATTTCACAGGTGAGAAGACTGAGGCTTTGAATCCAGACAGATTGGTTGCAGAGTTCATAATTCTTGATCACTGGAAGAGAATAGAATTTCCCAGGAAAAGAAGGCCATTTTAGACAGAGGAAGTAGTGTGAACTACAATTATAAAAATGTATTGTATGCTTGAAAAATGACAAGCAACTTTCCATGGGTGTATTTTGGGGGATGGTGGAAAAGGAGGCTGAAAAGCTAGGATGGGGTCAGTGTGTGAATGGCCTCAAATGATTTGCTCAGGAGTTTGGACTATAATCTCTGGAGAAAAGGGAAGCAAAAATTTCTGAGCAGAAGAATGACATAATCAGGTTTGTGTCTTAGTAAGAGAATGGGAAGGAAAGAGAAAATCTACCCAGCTACAATTAAATGAACACCTGGCAAATTTCATGTGACTCCGTTCTCAAACAACACGCCATTTGGTTCACAGATGTTGCACTAAAACCACATTAAATCAATAGATTTGGGACAGACTGCATTGTAAATTTGGGTTTTAACCTCAGAATGTTTTATTCTGTAGTCACCTGAGTTCTGTATACCTTCTGTTACTTTACCTATGTTTCTGTGCACTTTTAGCAAATAGAGAAAAATCACAGTAAACCACAACTGGAAAAGAGAGAAGCAAAGCAACCTTTCTTCAGGCCCCTACCTGGGTTTAGCACAGAACTGGTCCAAGTTTTTTCCACTGGTTTAAAGTGAGAAGTCCCATGATGACACTTTTACTTTTGTAAAAGTGATTTTTGACTTCCTCTTTCATTTACATTAGATGATAAACTCAGGATTTGGGAAACCTACCAAAACCTCTGTCCAGACATGTTTCTGGCTCCATAATGCTACAGCTGAGACTAGTGGAAGCAAAGCCCTGACAGGAAGTGTTAGAAAATCCTACAAAGAAGACCATTCTTCTAGGTGGAAATGTGAGACATTATTAACTAGCTATAGGCAATTCACACCCTCCACAGGGAGGCTCAAAGAGAAATTTTATGCTCTTTTCTGGAGTAGGGAGGGAGCAAGGTACAAAAATAAAGCATCCGCCTAAAGTAAGGACAAGGCATTAACAGGAAAATCAAATGCTTAGACACTCACAGACCATTATATATAAGAACTGGAAGTCCCGGGAGGGAATCTCATGGGCAAAAACCAAACAAACATAAATAATGTACATGATATATGTGTATGTACGTATTCATATATATATCAGACCAAAGACTCAAAAGTCTTCAGTTGTATTCTCAGTTCTACCACTGACTCGCTGTGTCATTTCAAGCAAACTCCTTAATTCTTCATTTTTAAAAATGATACAATGCAAGATACTCATTCCCTGCCTTACGATACCTTACAGTTTGTTAAACATACAGGTGCTCTCATTCCAGAGAGATTCCAATGTCATCTACCTGGGTGGGCCCTAGCAATCTGTATTTTTTAGCTAAAGGCCCAAGGTGTTCATATCACCACTCAATTTGAGAAATATTACATTATATCTTGCTAAACTCTATTTGATCTCCTCTTTTCTCTTTCTACCTGTTAAACTAGGCAAAATATTTGATAGACATTTTTGGTGGGTAAAATTTTTCCTACCCAAACTATCAAAACATTTACAGAATATTAACAGTAATTTCAATTAAAATCAGTAAGTAGTATTTCCTTTATAATTTTCCAAACATTGCAGACTGACCTCTGTTCTCTAAACATAAGTCTGCTAGTATTTTGCCACGTGTCCTTGGAAAAAATGAAAGAAAGTCTACCTATCTCAATTTGCTCAGTTTTTGAGAATTCAATACCTAAATTGTTTATTTGCATATTGTCTCCCCCACCACATCATATTCTCCTAAAAAACAGGGAATTTATGTTTTATATCTGATCACGTCTTAGAGAAGTGCATGTTAGATGGTTAGATAGGTGGAGAGATGGATGGATGGATGGATGGATGGATGGATGGATGGATGGATGGATGGATGGATGGATGGATGGATGGATGGATGGATGGATGGATGGATGGATGGATGGATGGATGGATGGATGGATGGATGGATGGATGGATGGATGGATGGATGGATGGATGGATGGATGGATGGATGTCTGGGTTAATGGATGGATGGATGGATAGGTGGAAGGAAGGGTGGGTGGGTGGATGGATATACAGATTTCAAAAATGAGTAAACACATGAATGAACAGATTTGTCCACTGATCACCATTAGAAATTGTTGCCAGAGTTAGAAATACAAAATATTCACAAGTATTGAGCAAAAGTTGTCTAATTATCATTACCTAATAAACTGGAAAAGTAAAAATAAGGGTGACATCACTACACAGGGACATTTTAGTATCTCTCCTACCCTTCCTCCCCCCAAAAGCCTTGCAACTAGTTGACTTACCAGTACTACCTACTTGTGGTAGAACAATTTTTGTCATCAACATATCACTTACACCTCCACAATGGAGGACATGTGGTCCCCAAAATGTTCCATCAGGGGGTGTTTTGGGGGCAGTTAACTAAAAAGGGGCTCCCAGAACAGATGGAGGACTTGACAGATATGAGGTCACAGAGCTACTGCCTCTCCCCCTTCAAAAGAAACTGCTCAGCTCCATTTATTTCAGAATCTAGAGGAAGTTGACAAAGTGTCACAGCAGCCCAGCACAATATGTGGTGGAGAGTTTTCAGCTTGCTGGCTTGGTTCCCCTTACAAGGTAAGGACTTGGTGTGAATGTTTTTTGTTGCTCAGCTGACCTGTCTTTCCAAATCTACCTGTTGGTCAGTGGCAGTCACGGAGGACCTGCTATACAGAAGACAACCCAGGTAACTTTGCTAATACTTTTCAAGCCATGCCAAATCACACATCTGAGGGATGTCACTGCATTTATTTAATCTCTTGTTCGATTGCTAAATGTATAGAAAGGATTATTATAGTGTGTCTCTATGGGATCTGTGTTATGGCAAAATGCAACAAGCTTATTAAGTTCTGTCTTTGAAAGGCATACCAGTTGAAAGAACATCAGTTTGGGATTTTAAAACTTCCTTGCTATACACATCTTTTTGTTTTGTTTTGTTTTGTTTTGTTTTTGTTTGTTTGTTTTGTTTTTTTATACACATCTTAAATAATCTAATTTCTCTGAAACTCAGTTTCTGCATCTTGATAACAATGTTTGAATTACCAACCGCCCTGATTGTTATAAAGATCAAATTTCAAATGTGAAAGCAAATTGAAAATGATAAAGCGTATCTAACTCTTATTTAGTTAAGAGATATTAATGAGCCCCAGTGAAAACTTTGTGCTTATTTTTAAAGTTATTTTCAAATTTGGTTTTTGAGGTTTAATTCTAATGCAGCATTATGAAAATTAAAGAGAGACACAGTTACCTTTTTAGCACAAATCAAATTATTCCTACCAAAAAGAGGCGCAGTGGTATAGGAAGCGGCTCCTGGTGTCCCTGAGCCTCTGCAACATGTGTCAGATTCATGTAAAGGAAACCACTTTTAAATTCATTGCTTGCATGTGTTTGTTAGTTTGTTTTCAAACATTGAATCTGTAGTTCTGTTTCATGAAACGAACTTATCCTTCTAAATCTGCATTCACCATAGAAGGCATCTGAAGGACACTATTTAAAAATCAAGATTTTCATAGTATTTCAATTCCCTATATTATACACTTCAATTAGTGCCTTCTTTTTTGGTCCCTGTACCCTGAGGCACTTAACAAGGATTCAATTTTGGTAATGAATAATATTAGCTTCTTCAATAAGTGGCTGAAAGAATAGCTAATACATTCAGGAAGAGTACCTCTAGACAGTTAAAATTAGAATGATTTCAATTATTCCTAAGTTTGAAGCCTTTAACTGACTTTAACTTTTCCTGGCTTCCAGTTATTGCCTCATAAAATAATACTTCATAAAAATAAGTTTTTAAATAAATAGAAAAATCACGTTAAAAAGACAAGTCCTCTAGAATACAAATTATTTAAATGCTATTTATTTATATAGAGAGGAAAAATATTTACTGTGCCATCACTGTGCTGGGCATTATGTTAATTACACTTAATCCTAGCAAAAATACTGAGGTAGGTTTGATATCCCCAATTTACAGATGAGAAAACTGAGGCTAACAGAAGGTGGATAATACGCCCAAGTTTTCACAGCTAGTAAATGGCAACATAAAAACCAGCCTGCAAAGTGCATAGTAGAAGTATTATCTCATGAAACTTTTAATTAATATGTGTTTACTGGGTTGCGACAGATGTGTTTCTTAAAGTGGATCAAAAGTTTGAAAGCCACTGACTTCCACAATCTGGAAGATTCGATTTTGAAAAATCCCAATTTGAAAACCCATCCAAGGGGCCACCCAGAGAACATCTAAACTCAATGACATTGAGCAGCAGTGGCCCACCTGAACTTGCTCAGGCCCATCAGAGTCCAAAACGGGCACCAAGAAAACTGACCATATTACTTTCTTGTCAGCAAAAAAGCAACAAATCATCATTTCTGGAAAAGCTATAAGTTGTCCGTTGATTTCAGCTAATTAATTTACAGGAAGATCATTATGACTACTTCCACTATGCAACTTCTATGGCTGTCAAAAATTTATAGACAAAAAATTCTCATAATCTTGGTGCTTGCCCTCTTTTCAAGGCTACCCCTGAAATAAATAGTCTCTAGGATGGGTAAAACACAGTAAGAATAATGAATTATTCAAAATTCATCCCATTTACCTACATCGGGCAATAAAAACATCAAATCCACCAAATTTTGAACCCTCTATTCTGGTTATTTAGTGGAGGGTAGGATGCAAGAAATATGAAGAAATATTGTAAATTGAGTAGTTCTTGTGATACTTTTTTTAACCAGGAAAAGTCACATGTCTGATGACACATTGTTGAGACAGCTTCTTTAAAGCTATATTGGAAATACTTTGATTTTGGACAAGTCTAATTTATTTCACACCTGTAACTTTCTCTATTGATTTTATCTAAAACCAATAAAACTCCCTTTTAGCAGTGATCTGAATTGAAGCACATTTTTTCTTAATACGTCATAGCAGTCACGTAAATAGGGCTCTGGCTCGAGAATTAACTCATTGTATGTCTCTGGTTTTAATTTAGCTCTCTCTAGTTTTTATTATTTGATATAGCAAACTCAGAGCAAAGTTAGCATTCAATTAAAACATTTATTTCTGAATATATACATTTACTCATTTTTATCCATTAATTCAACCAATATCTAAAATCTTACTTTGTGCTAAAATGAATGAATGGCAAACACTTTTCCATGAGGATTTTGTAATCTATCCACAGAGACACATCTGTAGCCAAATTATACAATAATGTACTAACTGCTATAATAGAAGTATTCCTTTGGGAATCAAGAGGAGAGAGTAAGTGAGTCGTTGTGGGGAGGAGAGAGGCTAAGGCCTGGTTAGAAAATTTTGACAAAAGTGGTACAATTTGAGTTGACTCTTTAAGTTGAGTCTTGAGTTGAGTCTTGGGATTGAGTCTTAAAGGCAACTTGTAAGAAATGTATTCCAGGCCAAGAGAACAGCACAGACAAAGGCAAAGTATTTTCTGAGCCTAGAACTTTCTAGAAACAGCAAGTGGCTATTTGCATGGAATCTCTGGAAGGGAATATCAGCAGATGACACTACAGGAGAACATAGAAGTCAAGTTCTCTGGAACTTTGTCCTGATTCGAATGCGAGCCATAGCAAACATTTTAATGAAGAAAGAGACATGAACAAGTTTATGTTTTTAAAATGTAATTCTAGAAGTAGATGAGGATAAAAAGTTACAGGGAAGAGAGACTACAAGAAAGTTATTGCAATGGTCCAGGAAAGAAACGATGGAGGCCTCAACTAAGGCTGCAATGGTAGCAAAAGAAGAGGAATGAATTGATTGAAGCAATGTTTGGGAGAGAGAAGAGACTGGGGCACCTCTCAAATATCTGGTATACAGTGGATGGTGATAATATTAATTAATATAAGAGAACACTGGAATGGAGCAGGTGGTATATACATTTTAGAGATGGGTGGGGTATTGGGACAGTAGAGATAATGCGTTCTAACTGAACACATCTAGTTTGGGGTCCCTGTGGGATAGACTTGTTCTGTTCTGGTTTAAATTTGTTGCATGCAATAATTAGGCTATGAAGGCAAGAAAAAGAAAGAATTTTTTTTTTCAGTCTACTATGGTGACCTATAGCAGAGGTAAAGCACACACAGCAACTCCCAAAATCTTGGGAAAGACCAAGGACTCTTAAGAACTGCACTGGTTTTATCTATATGTACTTCGGTAGGTTGCTATGACTGCTGCTTACCCTTTTGCTCAAGAGTCAGTCACATGTGCCTTTGCATGAAGCCATCCACTGACAGGGTGGGTGATTTAGTTCATGGAACTGGGGATGGAGAAGATGGTGAAGGTCACAGGTTCCATTTCTATATATAAACCAGTCACAGTCTATAGCCCAGGCTCAGCTAACAGTCTCATAACACATAGCCATGCGCAAATGGATGAATCCAGCCATGGAGATAATGATCAGGCCCAGAAGTCAATAATCCACTCAGTTAACATGACCTACCAGTAGGAGGCAGTGACCTCACAGGAGGGACAACCTGACCATTCACTGTTGAGCTCTGCATGCTCAGCATGTGTGGAGCCGTGTAGAGCTAACTGGCAGATAGGAACTCTGAAGCCCAGAAAGGGAGAACTAGGAAGTAGGCCCAAGGGTCTATCCAAGAAAGAATAAGGGTGAAGCAGAATACACAAGTCCATGTCTTTAGAGCCTACAGGGGAGGAAATAGTGAGCAAAGAAAGCACGTCACACCCATCCCTCTCACAGCACAGGTGAAAGTCTGTCTCCAAGCTGAGGCAAAAGAAAATTAAAAAGACAAGTTCCAATTTTGTTTCCAATGGTAATGAGAGGATCGTGGGGAACTTTTCCTTCGAAGATGTGCCATGAAAACTTGGGCACGGCATACTCTTCCTTCACCCTTTAACAAGACCTAGACATGCTGAACAACAGTTTTAAGCACTACAGTTGAAGCAAAGCTGGGTGGGTCTGTGGCTTCTCACAGGGACTATTCTTCCTTTCTACAATGATTTTCCTGTTTCTAAATCAGACGTGGGGTCTACATGACAATACTGCAAGATAAATAGGACTGGAAAGCTAAAAGCAAGGCTTGTGGCAAGAAGCAAAGGAAACAACTAATTTTCTGTGCCTCAAACACAACCCTTCATATGTGAAAGTCAAGCATGTGCAGCGTGGTTGGTCTGGTCAGCAGCCTGATTCGAATTCTCAACAGCAAGAGCAAACACTAATCTTAGGGCATAAACTACGTTAGTCTACGCTAAAAGGCCATACTATATTTCAGCACAGTTTTTAAGATGTTGTAAGAGTTAAATGACGTTTTAATTCATAAGCATGCAGCCTAAGAAAAAGACGAATAACATATACATCTTTAAAATAAAGACATTTATTCCTAAACAAGCTGCAGATAAATCTCACCACTCCCATTTTATATCATTTTGCCAAAGGTAAAAACATTGTCAAAACTTTTAAGTGTAAACTTCTAGCCCCAAAGGATAAAGTTAGGGCATATTTCTTTTTTTTTTTTTTTTTGTCTTTTGTCTTTTTCCGTGTCCGGCAACGGATCGCAACCCTCAGTGTTGCCCCCGTACTGGACCGGGGACCGGCAACGGGATTGCA